CCTTAATAACATAAATACCTTTAATAAAACCCCCATATTAGTTAATGTATGGTAGGATAATAGTAAAATCATAATGCCACTTAAAGCTGTATGTTCTTGCATTCTTTACTCAAAAGTGGGGACATTTGACCAAAGAAAAGGTTCTAAAAATATTATAATGACATCATTACCACTCAAAAGTGAGAGCCATGGGAACATATTTCGGGAAATGAAAACTGGTCTGCAACTACAGGGATGATCTCCCTGAGGAAGTGATGTTCGGGATGTGTTAGTCAGCTTTTCATCACTGACCAAAATAAGCAACTTAGAGAAGAAAAAGTTTGTTTTGGGCTCTTGATTTTAGAGAATCACTCCATGGTTGACTGACTCCATTGCTCTGTGCCCAAGGTGAGACAAAACATCATGGCAGAAAGGCATGACATAGGAATGCTGCTGCACTCATGGCAGCCAGAAAACAGAGGACACTGCAGGGAACCTGGGACAAGATATAATCCAAGGGCACCCATCCAGTAACCACTTTATCCAGTCATGCCCCACCTGCCCAGAGTCACCACTTAGTAAGCCATTCAGATTATTAATACATCAAATCAAATCCATTGATGAGTTTATACTCATGATAATCCAGTCATTTCACCTCTGGACATTCCTACATTGGAGATCATGCATTCAAAATGAGCTTTTGGGGATACATTTCTAGTACAGACCATGAGACAGGCTGACATCTGAATGATGAATAAGAGTGAGTCCAGCAGAGTATGGAACGTGGCCTTCTAGGTAAAGACCAGTGACGTATGCAAGAATTGGAACTTGTTTTTAGAAGAGTGGTAGAAGTATATGATGAGTAATGATAATAATAGTTACTCATGCTACTTAACTAATTAAAAAAGAAAATTACTAAGAAAAATCACTAACTTAAGTCAATTTACCTAAGTACATTTCTACTAAAGAAATCACCTAAAGTGTCACTTAGATTATCAGTTTATGGTAAGGATTAATTATCCCATAACTGTTGAGATAACCATTTAGCCAGTCAAGAAAATCTGAGTCTAGGTCCTAACTACATTTCATATGTCAACATAAATCCTAGCTAGAATAAAAAAAAATAAACATTTTTAAAATAAAATCATAAAAGTGCAGGAAGAAAATATGAGTTGTAACTTTTTATCATGTCAGGTAGAGATGGCATTTCTAAGTATTAGGCAAAAGTCAAATTACATAAGGGAAAAGATCAATAGATTTGCTGATATAAAAATATAAGGCGTAAGAAAGCTGGAAGAAATTTTAATAGGGAAAAGGTTTGTAATATGTATGACAAGCCAGGTACCAAAAGCCCTTACTAAGAAAAGGGGTTTTTTAATCTGGGAAAAAATTCAAGCAAAAACATTGCACAAAAGTATTATATTTAACACTGTTATATTTAACACTGACTGATCGATTGGTGTTCAGTTATACTAGTTATCAAATAAATGACACAGGGGGACTATTTCTATGGAAATACACTGTGCAAACTCATGTACAGTGATATCATTAAGAATTATCTTGATGCAACGATAACCTCCAAATTCACTATTAGGCAAGCTGTCCCAGATATCATGAACAGGAATCCCCCCAACCCAAATTAAGATGCTCAAATCACCTGGTTGATTACTCAAAACAAATCAAAAAAAAAAAGTTGGAAAGTTATAGTGAAGGTTAATACATTTAAGACAAAGTCCGGCAGAAGTCAGAAGACAATATTACCTGAATTCTGTGTTAACAGTGTTGTTATGCCCTTATGTGTTTTGCTACATCAGCCCTGACTTCTAACAGTTTGGTCATGAGAACCACAGTTGAAACTGAAAAGGGGAAGGAGGGCTTAGCAATGCTTAGAGTCAATATATACTTGCTGTGTCAAAAATTGCAGGGATGATTATGCCTCGTTCATGGCCTGCTGAGAACCATGTTTTTAATTGTGTTTCTGAGGCAGAACATACATGGAGTCAAACTGGATGTCAGTAATGAATACACGTTAGGGATGATAATAGCTGTTAGTGTGAAGGTAGCATTATATGTACCTCATCACTTGGCCTTTCTTCTCCTGTTAGCAAGACTCTCATTTGTTCCATTTTTTAACATATGATCCATTGGCTCTCTTTGTCCTATCTATACCTAACATATCTTTAGTATTCTGCCTGTCTCACACGCTACTTGTTTACCCACTATATGTGAGTTTCATATATCTTGCTTTCCTTTAGAAGAGAATTGAATATTCTCATAACACATTACACATGAAATATTTTGCTTGAAGTATTAAACAAAGAAGTATCCAATATAGAATAAATTATTATATATAATGGGATATGGGCTGTTAGAATATCTATTTCTTTGTATATACAGAGAAATGTCTAGAAGGATCTTCTCCAAAATATTAATGGCAATTTTCTGAGTGAAGGATTTAGGGTTTTTGCTTCTCATTTTTTTTTTTTGTATTATTACAGGTGAAGTTGGAGGGATACCATGAGAAGCTGTTGCCATTTATAATCTAAAGAAAAGACAATTATGGTTTTAAATTTTTTAGATTGCCAGTGTTATTCTCTGTAAAGAATATAATCTTTGAAGTCAGATAGATCCAAGCCCATTTATTAGTGGTATAAAGTTGTGCACTTAGCCATCCCTACCTGCAGTTTCCTAGTCTGGAGAGCAAGGACAATAAGTGTCTTAGAGGAGGCACAGTGCAAAGATCATATTAGTGGTCTAGTAAATATTCTTGTACCCCTATATTTAACATAGTACTTAATTCTGTCCTACCCTCTGTTTCATTCCTGGTGGCATAAAAGGACCTGCAGATTACAGTGCTGGCAAATTCTGGGAGTTGCAAGAACTCTTTCCCAAGGTATTTTAGCTCAAGGTACCTTGATTAGAGTACTGTGCTCCAACAGAGCTGATAAGGGAATCTGATTTTCCCACTGTGTTCCATTTTAAAGTTGAAAGTATAACATGCTATTGGAAAAGATTTAGGCTCTAGGACTTAATAAAATCAAATTTCAGTTATTAAAACTTGGGATTAGATTGCACTTTTACAAACTTGAATGTGTATAAAATCATCTAAAGCAGTGGTTCTCCAGTTTATTCACCCAACATCACCTTTTCATAACATCGGTGTTGCTATCTTGAAATTTATAGATAATATACTCTGCTTACACACATTTTTAAAAATTGGTATAATTTCATGACAATACTGTAAATGACAAATGCAAAGGAAGTAATTACAATTAAATAATATGTACTTCAATATCTAGAGAGTCTGGAATGACTAACTTTACGATAGTATAGTACTCAGAGGCTTGCACACAAATAGAGTTACATGAATATAGTGAACATGGCAATTAAAAGTGTGCTTATTGACAACCAAATACCAGTAGTTACATGGCCATTGATGATGTGTTTCTGTTCCACAAAGGCTAATTTTCCTGTATTTACACAGGGTTAAATTCCTGCAGAAAATACTGAAAATATACAATTTGGAATTAATCAGGGAACTTGTTTAAAATGTGGATTTTTGGCCTCCATGCCCAGAGGTATTTGCCTCTAGGGATACGGGATATGGACCAAAAATCTTTTGGTGATTCTGAGTCAGACATTCTGTTATCTAAATCAACTCTGGGAGGAAGGTTGTCCTGAAGAGTAAGTAGTACCTAAGATGAAACACTACAAACCAAAAACCCAAGTTTGCCATTCAGTTCTCCTGCAATGTAATGTAATAAAGGGAAAATAAGTGATCTAGAATAGGAGTATCTCACTCAGTTTCAAACACAACTATCTCTTTTTTTTAAATTTTTATTGATTTTTTTAAATAAATGACAGCAGAATGCATTACAATTCTTATTACAGATATGGAGCACAATTTTTCATATCTCTGGTTGTATATAAAGTATGTTCACACCAATTTGTATCTTCATACATGTACTTTTGATAATGATGTCCATCTCATTCCAGTATCCTTGCTAACCCCCTGCCCCCTCCCTTCCCCTCCCACCCCTCTGCCCTATCTAGAGTTCCTCTGTTCCTCCCATGCTCCCGCTCCCTACCCCACTATGAGTCAGTCATCTTATATCGGAGAAAATATTTGACATTTGTTTTTTGGGGATTGGCTAACTTCACTTAGCATTAGCTTCTCCAGTACCATCCATTTACCTGCAAATGCCATGATTTTATTCTTTTATTGCTGAGTAATATTCCATTGTGTATATATGCCATATTTTTTATCCATTCATCTACTGAAGGGCATCTAGGTTGGTTCCATAGTTTAGCTATTATGAATTGTGCTGCTATAAATATTGATGTGGCTGTCAGACACAACTATTTCTAATTGCTTCGACTTGGTATAAATTTTCTGGGTCAGTTTTCCCCATCTATAAAATGGGTATTGTTACCTGCAGCATGGAGGGGTGAGACCGTGTTTGAGACCCATTGAAGTTTTCTTTTTTGTAAAGATTATTAAAATTCTCAATAAAAGGCAGCAAAATGAAATGTATTAACCATGTAAATTCTTTATTATGGTAACAGCATTTTCACTCGTTCGAAAAATCTGATCAGGCTTCACTTTCCTGAAAGACCACTGTTTAAAACCAGAGAAAAGCATGTGAGGAAAACCTTAGCCCATTAACCCCTCCCTTCCAAACAAACTAAAGAGGCACCAGCTTTGAAAACTTGATAGAATTCTGGCTCCAGTCGGCCCGAGGCAATTTCGTGAATTTAGACAAATCCCTTCACCTTCACCGGACTCTGTTTTTAAGCTCCATCTATTACTCAACTACTTCTCCAATCCCTTTTGTGTCCTTCTCCCACACCTGCCACCTTCCTTTCTTTCTCTGATGACGTTTTACTCGCGTTCTTACCAAATCCTGCACTATGTGCGTTCTGCGCGCTCTCGTCCCAGATTTTGGTCACCCCCCCCCCCGCAGTCTTCCCGCGACGTCCCAGCTCCACTGGAGGTGGACTCCCAGTCCCTCTGTGCGCTCCCGCAGTTCTGGCACTGGCTGCTATTGCGCCGGAGACTCCACAACCTCTTCGCATCCGGGTTGCTCGCTGTCACCTCCCCACCGCTCCCTTTGCGTCCCACCCCGACACACACATAGACACACACCATAAACCTGTGCCCTCAGCTCGGGGTATTGGTGCTGAGTTCCTCACCACTATTCCCAGCCACCCCTTGCACACTGCCACAGTGTCCTTTCCATACTTGTCTGGCTGCCAGAGAACAAGGCTGGCTCTTCCTCCTTACCCCAGAATGCCCGTCTAGGGCTGGGTCCCTCGCCAGCGAGTCCGGAGCCCCGCACCACCCACGTGTACAAGAGCGCAGTGCCAGGCCAGCGAAAAACCGAAGGACCCTGGCTCCTGGCCGCAGAAGCTTTACGATTGTAAGAGAAACCTGGCACCCGCCCGCAAGCCGCGCACAGAAAGCGAGCTGCACGTGCTGGGAGCCGTCGCCTCGCTGCAGGGTGCGGGTGCCCGCAGAGGCAGCTAGCTAGCTAGCGCGAGCAGAGGGAGAGTGGATAAGCGAACCGAGGAAGGGTGGGCGCGTTGGTGGGTCTGGGAAGCAGACATCTCCGAAAAGCAGGGGCTACGTGGCTGTGCTGCCCGTAGGACTGCAGTGCCACCTCTCCCAAGAAAGCCCGCTAGCTCACACGCCCGCGCGCGTACGCACGTGCACACGGTAGGCAGGAAAAGCACTAGCGAGAGCATTTGAGTGCTGGGCGCCTTGTAGCTATGGCATCTGTCCTCAACAGCAAAATTCACCCGCCAGGGACTTGCCCAAGCTCCAAAGCCGATTCCCGCGGTGGCACAGGCTGGAGAATGGACTGTGATCCCGAGATGCACGTCAAAATGTGCAAGAAGATCGCCCAGCTCACCAAGGTAAGGTAGGGCGCTGAAGCTGGCGAGCTGCGCGCCCGGGGCTGCTAGAGCCAGGGAGGGAGGGCAGACGCGCCTTCCCGGAGGCCCGTGCCAAATCCGGACAAACTTTGTCTCTGAAGCCAACCAGGAAAGGAAACGGTACTAAATCTGGTTGACTTGACCTTTTGGAGGCACCATTCTGAAACAGAGAGAACCTTTGCCAAGGAAACTCCCGCAGCCTGCCTGCTGAGCAGGTGGGCTTGCTTTTACCAAGGTGGGAATGTGAATGAATCGTGTGTGTGTGTGTGTGTGTGTGTGTGTGTGTGTGTGTGTGTGTGTTTTCGTTCCTTTGCCATCAATGCTTAAGTGATCGTGCCTGGAATGTTGTGAATTTTTTCAATGCCGTACTTTACAGCTGGGAGGTCATGTGAGCACTATTTAAACACTTGATTCATTTATTCCTTCCATTCAACAAATATTTGAGTCATTTGTTGAGTGCCAGCAGCTTGCCGAGGCACCGCACTAACCCTGGAAGGCAGCCCAGGGGACTTACTATCAAACTGGCTGCAGACGTGTGTAAGAGCATAAATGGGGAAGAGTACAATTGACTATATAATTATGGGATTAGAAAGGACCTTGGGAGGTCAGCCAGACCTTCTCTACTTCATTTCAGAGACACAGAGTCGTGTGTCATATTCATGAAAACTATCAAGAGGCTGCCACCAGTGCTGGCTGTTAACCCTCTTCAGCTTCCCGATTAAGGAGCTCCTTGTCATAGGTTCCCCTCATGTGCCTTGTCTGTCTTTTGCACAGGGTTTGAAGTGGATGCAGCTAGCTGTTTGTGCAGGTTTTCCTTTTAGTCTCCTAATAAACTCCTTAGAGTATGCCTGCCAGTGGAAGGTGGGAGCCAGATTCTGTCCAGAAATATATAGAACATACTTTTTCCTCACTATCTCCTTCTTACTTCCCTTACCCACTTTTTTTGTGGAATCATGGGCATTCTTACCACCAGACACACACTCTTTTGCAGAAAGGAATAAAGCACAGAGTGGGAACTACTCTAGCTACCTTCTCCTGCCTCTCTAGTTAACTTCCCTTCATTCTTTGCACATAAAACTATCTCCAAACAGTGATCTCTAGTCAAGGACTGAAAAATGGGATTGTAGATAACCAGTGGAGAACTTGGCATGTATGACTAGCACTATGGATCTAACCTACATTCATCTACTTAGTGACACCAATCAAAACATTTATTCTGCCTCTAATCCCAGTAACTGGGAGGCTGAAGCAGGAGGATTGCAGGTTCAAAGCCAGCCTCAGCAACTCAAGTGAGGCCCAAAGCAAATTATCTAGATGCTGGCTTAAAATCAAAAAGGGATAGGGAGGTGACTCGATGGTTAAGTGCCCCTGGGTCCAATCCCCAGTAGAAAAAAAAATAATTCAAATACCTAGAAAGGCACATGGCACAATGTAAGCCATCTTCTCTACCTTCAAAGAATCTAAAATATTTTTGAAGAAAAAGGCTTGAATATGGAGAACTAAGACATTGCTATTTTGTCAGTTGCTAAATTGGGTATTTCAAATTTCAAATTGGGTATTTGCTTCTATTATAGAAGTAGAAACAAAAGACTATGTCCTTTGAATACATTCAAATGGATAGGATATGTTATATGAACAGGAACAGTTGAGTGAGACTCTTTGGACAAATATGATCCTTGAATTTTATGTGAATTTATGAAGTGCCTAGTATGTACCAGGCACTATGTTGAATATGGATGGCATAAAATTTAATAAGACAGCTCCTACCTTTCTGAGTATGTCAGCATATAAATAGATCACTTCAATATTACATAGTAATCGTTCCACTCATTAATATGTATGGTTTAGTTATAATGTGCTAAGCAATGAAGATATAGCAGTAAAGAAGGCAGGCATGATCCCTGGCACACAGTAGGCTGAGTTTCTTAACTACAGGTCATGGTGCCTTTCTTTACCATTTTTTCACACAATTGCTTAAATTAGGAATTTTGTATTGATAAGCCATCTTTCTTTGTATTGAACATATTTTCCCTATCTGCACATTTAACCCTTCCATGAGTTTTATTTTGTGTCTCTCATTGGTGAGTTTAATCCAGGTGCATTTATTGTGATTATTAATATATCTGGGCCTATCCTTCCATCATATTTTTTGTTCTTCATTTATCAATTCTTCTCTTTGCTTCCTTTTTCTCCATTCTTGCCTTCTATTGGATTAATAACATGATCTATATTCCACAACTGGATTAAGATCTCTGGACTTTATTTTTATTCTTCTCAGATTTGTCTTTTTCAACATATCTTTTCTGAAAGTGCCACTATGTTGTATGAGGAAGCTTCCTCATCTAGCTCCTGAGAGGCTATGTTTTTTTATTTGTTCTTTTTAGGTATACATGATAGTAGAATGTATTTTGACATATCATACATACATGGAGTATAACTCCCCGTTCTTGTGGTTGTACATGATGTGAAGTTTCACTGGTTGTGTATTCATAGATAAACATAGGAAAGTTATATCCCATTGATTCTACAGTCTTATCCATTCCCATCCTTCCTCCAGATCCAACTTCCCCCATTCAATCCTGTGAATCTCTACTCCCCCACCCCATTGTGAGTCAGCATCTGCAAATCAAAGAGAATATTAGGTCTTTAATTTTGAGGATTGGCTTATTTCACTTAGCGTGATACATCCAGTTCCATTTACTGGCAAATGCCATAATTTCATTCTTCTTTATGGACGAGTAATATTCCATTGTGTATATTCATCTAGGAGTGGGATAATTGGGTCAAATGGTGGTTCCATTCCAAGTTTCCTGAGGAATCTCCATACTGCTTTCCATAGTGGTTGCACCAATGTACAGTCCCACCAGAAATGTATGAGTGTACCTTTTCCCCTACATCCTCGTCAACATTTATTTTGGTACTTGTATTCTTGATAATTGCATTCTGAATGGGGTGAGATGAAATCCCTGAGAGGTTATTTTTAAAAATTCTTTTGTCTTTCTGTTGCTTCCTGGTGGATTCCTTAATCATGTCTTCCAATTTGTCAATCTTATAAATAATTTGTCTGTTCCACACTTTTTCCCATCTGTTAAGTTTTAGAATTTTAATAATTATATTTTTCATTTCTAAGATCACTATTCCTATTCTGTCTGTTATGACTGATAATTTGATGCTTAATTTTTACAGCTTAATTGGAGTACAATTTACATATCATAAAATTCACTTGTTTTAAGTGTGCAGTTCAATATATTATAGCAAATTTATAGTCATTGAACCATAACTATGACCCAATTTTAGAATAATTTTTTCATCCCAAAGAAATCCATCCCTCATGCCCATTAGTACCCAGTCCTTGTTCATATTCTCAACCCTATAACCTTTAATTTCCTCTTTGTCCCCTTATATTTGTCTTTTCTGGAAATTGCAAATAAATGAAATCATACAATATTTGATCCTTCTCCTCTGACTTTTGCACTTCTTTTTTTTACTTAATTGCTAAATCTTAGCATAATATTTTTGAGGATCATTCATGTTGTAGCATGCATCAATAATTCATTCCATGTTTTGCTCTTGTTCAGATGTGTCATGTTTTATCTATTCACCAACTGATAGATATTTGAGTTTCCACTTTTTTGACTATTATCAATAATAATGCTATGAACATTACATTAATCTGCAGGTCTTTGTATGTTCTTGGGTACATAAAAGTAGAATTGTTTGGTTGCATACTAAATTTATGTCTAACTTTTGAAAAAATTGATATTGTTTTTCAAAGTGACTGTACTATCTTGCATTTTCTAGCTCCTATCACCCAAGCACTCAATTCTCAAACTTCAGTGAAATACACTTCTTTCTATACTCTACTTTTCACCCATCTCTCTCTTTTTTGTGCTTATTTTAAAATTTTTTCATTGACATATAAAACATATACATATTTATGGGGTACAGTGGGATATTTCAGTACATGTATATAGTGTGTAATGATAAGATCAAGATAATTGGTACATCTATCACCTGAAACATTTAGCATTTCTTTGTGGTGGGAACATTAAAACCTTTTCTTCTAGCTGTTTTGAAATATACAGTTAATTGTTGCCAACCATATTTACCTCATTCTGGTATAGGTTATTCCTTATTTCCAGGTGCACCCCTATATCTAATAGCCATTCTCTCTCCTTCTCCTCACCCTTTCCACTATTCTACTTTCTACCTTTATGACATCAACTTTCTTAGCATCTAAGCTTCCTGGCTTTGTAGGTGTGAACATGCAGTATTGTCTTTCTGTGCCTGATCTATTTTGCTTAATGTAATGTATTCAATTCCAACTACCATGCTGCAAATGACAAGATATTTTGTTTGCTAAAGCAGTGATATTTCATGTGTATATATACCACATTTTCTTTGTCCATTCATCCACTAATAGACACCTAGCTTGATTTCATACCTTAGTATTGTGAATATATATTCATCCATTTCTCTCTTCAGGTTTTCTGACTGAAATATCTTTATCTCTAAAAATCATATCCTGTTTCCTCTAAGAAAAGCCTTTGGGGAAAAAAACCCTCACTGTTGTGAGTTAAGATGTGTCAATTAATTGTTAATAAATATTAATTACTTTTTCTTATCCATCTGTTTCATTAGTAGTTTATACAATGTCTGGTACATAGTAAGCCCAAAGTAAGTCTATTAAATTCAATCAAAGTTTCCTTCCACATATTTGGCTAAGATTTTTTGCATGATACTTATTCCTAACATATTATAGTTGATTTGTGTATAGTAGGTCTCTTAAAGTAATAAGTGCCTTAGTTTTTATTTTTAATACTTGACAACTAGCAGGCATTCAATAGTAGTCTAGTCAGGAAATATTTACAGCCATCCAAAGTCCAGGATGCACACTAAAATCACCTACAGAGCTTTTAAAAACACACAGCCATTACAGACTTGACAATGAAATGCAGTGTCTGATCTTAGACTGGATTCTA